GGCACTTTTGTGTTTTAAAACAGAATGTTCTGTAATTACTTGTCTTTTCTAGAAAAATAAACGGCCAGATTGTTCCTGGGTTCTACTTGATTTCCTTTCAAGAAATACAGGTCTTTTTTCTTTATGGAAAAAAGTAATCTATTCATTTCTTCTATTCTTAACAAGATTCGTATCTTTAACGCAGGCCCATTTCAGCAGGATCTACCTCATTAGTGCTTGGCCAAAAAAAAGGAGGTAAAGCTGGGGGCTGTGATCAGAAAAAGGAGAGTGCAAAGAACTACTTCTCTGCCATGAAACCAACAAACTGCTGCTCTCTTGCTGATTAATGGAGAAAACAGGATTTTCTGATAACAATGCTAAAACACCTGGATCTTGAACTATTTTGTGTTTGGTCCCTCAATTTTTGGGGGGAGGGGATAGAGTCTCTGTCACCTTGGGTGGAATGCCAATGAGATCATAGCTCACAGCAACCTCAAACTCCTGGGCTCAAGTGACTCTCTCACCTCAGCCTCTGAGTAGCTGGGACTACAGGTGTCCACCACAATGCCCAGCTAGTTTTTCTATTTTCAGTAGAGACAGGCAAGTCTCAACTCCTGAGCTCAAGCAATCCACCTGCCTCAGCCTCCCAGAGTGCTAGGATTATAGGGGTGAACCACCACACCTTGCACAGCCTTTGGAATTCTAAACTTAGGCTATAATATTTCTTAGTGGAGTGGTCTTTGTCTGTATTTTAACATCAGAGTCTCAAAGTTTTCTACCTGTTAAACAGAGATAATATCACATCTACATAGGGTGGCCATGAAAATCAAGCAAAATATTATATGTAAAAATGGCATCTTTAGGCCCAGGCTAACCATCAGGTCATAGTGAAAGAACAGAGGGACACAATGAAAACTCTAACATTCACACATAGCTCCATTCCCTTGGGAATGGAGACAGCATTCCTGATTGCCAACCCCCATCCCCCATCTCCTGCTGCCCTCAGATTTCTAATCCAGTTCCAAGGTCTCTGGTGTCTTCAACAACAGTGTCACTTACAGAGGGGTATTCACTCTTCACTGGTAGTTTATTCAGGTAGCTATAGGTCTTGTCTTTTTGGATGGGGCAGGTGATTCCACTCTTACAACCATCAGGCTCAGGAATGGGAAAGGGAACTGAGACGCCCATTATGATGCCATGTACAAAGGCTTTGCTACCTTTAGATGGAATATCTAGGAGGAAAAACAGAATCAAATGGTAAAAAAACTCAGCCTATTTTCAAACGCTAAATCAAAATTTCAGATATAATCTCAAGCAATAGCATTGCTATGATAGCAAATCATAATGCCTGTACTTCTTAATTTTTAGAGTCTATTTATCTTTGTAGCTGTGCTCATAGCCTAGCACAGTGCAAATATTCACTTCAAACTTGAAAAATTACTGAATCATGCAAAAAGAAGCATCATCGGGAGTTGTTTTCTTTACTTTTCATCTTGCTCTTTATAATTTCTCAGGGGAATCAAAGCTACCTGGATAATTAACCTTTTTTTTTTTTTTTTTT